TTTTTTTTTTTTTTTGAGACAGAGTCTTGCTCTGTCCCATCACCGAGGCTGGAGTGCAGTGGTGCGATCTCAGCTCACTGCAACCTCTGCCTCCCGGGCTCAAGCAATTCTGCCTCAGCCTCCTGAGTAGCTGGGATTACACATGCACATCACCACGCTCTTCTAATTTTTGTATTTTTAGTAGAGACGGGATTTCACCATACTGGCCAGGCTGGTCTCGAACTCCTGACCTTATGATCTGCCTGCCTCGGCGTCCCAAAGTGCTGGGATTATAGACATGAGCCACTGGCCTGACATCTTCTTTGTCTCATTCCTACTATAAAATCAAAACATTCTTTAAAAAGCCAAAAAAGCACACCAAATTCTTTAGTTTTTTTGTGTGTGCGGTTTGTTTTTTTTTTTTCTCTAAGAGATGGTTCTTGCTATATTGCCCAGGCTGGACTTGAACTCCTGGGCTCAAAGGATTCTCCCACCTCAGCCTCATGAATAGCTGGGACTATATGCTATATGCACTGCCATCTCTCTTGGGTATTTTTATTTTATTTCTTCATTTATTGTATCCCATCAGCCCAACTGCTCTCACATAGGAATGGGTGCCTGGGTACAAATTTCTTATCCAGGCAAGAGGGGATGAAAAGAGATCCTCCTTCCTGTCCTTCTGATGGTTGGGACAGCGTCCCTTTTTGGCACGTGGGAGGTGTTCTGGTCTGGATAGGCACTGGGTATAGATTGACCTAGAGTATATGTTCTCACATAAATTCATGCCAGTTCCACAACATTATGGTTTAGAAATCTTGAAAGTGTATTTTAAAGCCCCAAAATTACCTAAGAGGAATTGAAAGGCTTCAGGCTCCTCATACTCAGCATATGAGTGAGGAAATGATAGGACAGACCTGCAAAAGAAACTGTACTTCTGCAAGTGGGCAGCCAGAAGGAAACGGATCCCCTATTCCCAGAGAAAGAAAAGCTTACTGATTTTGTCTTCCTTTGCTCCCATAGAGCCTCACTCTATGGATTTTCCCAGACTAATTCCTTATGTAGCATCTTGGCTATAATCAGTCTTGAGACGGATCTGTATTGCAGTCTTTGACTAGCGGTTATATATTCCCTGGGAATGTTCTAGATACTCTTTCAATTGAAAGAGTGAAACCATTCCTATGTTCAGATTCCATGTTTATTAGATTCCATTTTAAAGCATAAAGGCAAGTATTCCCAGGAAGTATGTGACATTGACTATTCGTCTTTGGACAATGCTGAGGTGGGGGAGCGAACACCAGCCTGAAGCAGGAGTAACTGGATTTGAATCCCAGATCTGTGCCTGAGACCTTCCAACAACCTTACAAACATATGCACAGTGGACTTTTCACTTTCCAAGATGTTTTCCACTTGTAAGAGCCAATGGATGACCCTTTTGGCAGCTTTGCCTGGTTGGATTCTACAAGTAGCGTGGTACCAGGAAGAGAAAAAAACAAGATGCAGGGAATGGAGATTGTATCAAGAGTCTGAACCGCCTGTGTTTTTTTTCCGTCTTCATTCCCCAGGCCACCAAACAAAAAGCTTTTTATTGCCAGTTTTCGCCACCTACTGGTTGTTTCACAGCGTTGTTCTCTTCATCCATCCAAGAAAGTTCTTTCATTCATCATCAGAATAAATGTTCCCCTAGTTTATGAAATTCAAAAGGTACACTATTCTAACACGAACATACTAATGTTTAATATAGGGATGTAACGGCCAGATGTGGTGGCTCATACCTGTAATCTCAGCACTTTGGGAGGCTGAGGTGGGTGGAATGCTTGAGGCCACGAGTTTGAGACCAGCCTGCACAACACGGCAAAAACCTATCTCCACAAAAAATACAAAAATTAGCCGGACATGATGGTATGTGCCTGTAGTCCCATCTACTCTGAAGGCTGAGATACGAGGACCACTTGAGCCCAGGAGGTGGAGGCTGTAGTGAGCTGTGATCACACCACTGCACTGCAGCCTGGGTGACAGACTGATACCCTGTCTCAAAAAAAAAAAAAAAAAAAAAAATCAGAAAAAAAAAAACCGTGTGTGTGTATCAAATCTTTCCAGCTATGAAACTTTTTATTGAAAATGTAGGTAGAATGAGACTATTAACTGAGGATACTGATAACTAATAGGTCAGATGGAAGAGTAAACCATGGCCCCAACCTGAAATGGAAATTAATCCACAAATAGAATGAGCTGACTACAGACAGTAAAAACAAGTAGTCCATATAGTTTGCATAAAAGAAAAATGAGGCTGGGCGCAGTGGCTCACAGCTGTAATCCCAGCACTTTGGGAAGCAGAGGTGGGCGGATCACCCGAGGTCAGGAGTTCAAGACCAGCCTGACCAATATGGTGAAAACCCGTCTCTACTAAAAATACAAAAATTAGCCAGGCGTGGTGGCAGGCACCTGTAATCCCAGCTACTCAGGAGGCTGAGGCAGGAGAATTGCTTGAACCCAAGAGGCAGAGATTGCAGTGAGCCAAGATCATGCCACTGCACTCTTGCATGGGTGACAGAGCGAGACTCCATCTAAAAAAAAAGAAAGAAAAGAAAAAGAAAAAAAAGGAAAAAGGAACTGCTTAAAAAATAACTTCTCAGCCAGGTGTGGTGGCTCACGCCTGTAATCCCAGCACTTTGGGAGGCCGAGGCGGGCGGATCACAAGGTCAGGAGATCGAGACCCTCCTGGCCAACATGGTGAATCCCCGTCTTTACTAAAAATACAAAAGTTAGCTGGGCATGGTGGCAAGTGCCTGTGAATCTCAACTACTGGGGAGGCTAGGTAGGAGAATCACTTGAACCAGGAAGTCAGAGGTTGCAGCGAGCCAAGATCACGCCACTGCACTCCAGCCTCATCACTCCAGTCTCTGCTTCTGCCATGACCTGTGGGGTTCTGTTTTCTCCCATTCTTCTGAGGTCACCAGTCATAATATTGGATTCAGGCCCATCACAGTCACCTCATCTTAACTTGATTGCATCTGTACAGACCTTATTTCCAAATAAGGTCATATTCACAGGTACCGGGGGCTGAATTTAAATCTCTTTTGAGGTGACACAATTCAACCCATCTCAATATGTATCTAATATGACATTTTTAAAACTAATGAGGATTGCTGACTCCAAGGCCTAAAGACTCGGCAATATTAGAACTGAGTTTCAAGGGCTATCATGACCTCTCTAAAGCTAAAATCTGGTTATTTCATATTTCCACTCAAAGTTCTTGAAAACCTAAAAATCTTATATCCACTTTTTGTGGTTTCTGGAATACGCCAAGGGGTCTCATGTCTTTTGCCTTCGCACATCTGCCGGGCTCCCTGAACTGGACCCAACTTTTTCACCTGGCAAATTCATTTCTCTAGTTTTGGCTGAAGAACTTCGTCCTCTGTAAAGCCATCCCTGCTGTTCCTGGGCCGTCTTAACATTCCTTCTGTGCCGCTAGAAGATGTTTAGTACAGGGGCTAGACGCCTAAAAATCAGAATCAAGATTCTCATCCTGGCTTCACCATTGAGTAGCTGTGACCTTGAGCCAAGTATTTAAGCTTTCAGTGCCTGTTCCCTCATTTATAACATGGAAATATAAATAGTGCTACTACTCTTGGGGTTAGCTTGTGATTTCATTGAGTTAGTACATGTAAAGCACTCACAAGTGACTGGCACCTGTTTTCAGTGTTGGTTATAGTATCTTAATGGCCGCTATCCTCAGATCAGTGTAATCTCTGGCATATGTCCTTCTCACTAGATTATAAACTATTTGAGGGCAGGGATCATATTTTTCCTTGGAACCTTTCCAGCTTAGAACAGTGCTTAGCATACAAATCCTTGAAGCCTAAAATTCAGAGGCTCCAAGTCAAAGAAGAAAATGGGGAGTGGTTCCTCTTTATCTAAGAAACTTGTAAGGATATAGCAGAGGCATCCGAGGGATGAAGGAAAGGAGAAGGTGCAGAAACAAGAAATGTAATTGCCATGAGGAAGGAACAAATTGTTGATGTAGAATTGTATCCCCAGCACCTGGTATCAAGCTCATCATTGGTACCCAACAAATATATGATGGATGAGGCAAAATGGAGGTTATAAAATCAGGAGTGTAACAGAAATCAAAACATAATTTTGGGCCGGGTGCAGTGGCTCACGCCTGTAATCCCAGCACTTTGGGAGGCCGAGGCGGGCGGATCACGAGATCAGGAGTTCAAGACCATCCTGGCCAACATGGTGAAACCCCGTCTCTACTAAAAATACAAAACTTAGCTGCAAGTGGTGGCACATGCCTGTAATCCTAGCTACTCAGGTGGCTGAGGCAGAAGAATTGCTTGAACCAGGGAGTCAGAGGCTGCACTGAGCCGAGATCATGGCCCCACCTGGCCACCTCCCAAGGCCCGTGGGTGGACAGGCGGCCGGGAAGGACCTCCCATCCTCCATCAACTACCATAACACCATAAGCTTCTTGGTCCTTCTTAAAATATCCAAACAAAAATTACAGATATAATATCACATGCCATTTATGTATATAAATTGCTCAGATGTAAAGAAAGGTTAAACTTGCAGACCACAATGTCCAAGAAATCTCTTCTCAATGTTCTAAAACCTTTCTATTTATGAACTGATAAATACCAAGGCATGTTCTTTTCCAGATCAGTCTTATATAATTTGCTGCCCGTCAGGATCTAGGAGATATTACATGGTTGGAATATCAGGTTTTAGTTTAAAGTATGAGAAATATATTTGTATTGAAAACTATTTAAGAAATTTTGCTAAATTCACATTTCTTAAACTTTTACTCATATATCCCACATTATAGTGACACAAACAGAATATACTTGAAACAAGGGCTCAGAATACTAAGTATTAACTCCACAAGTATTATTACTACCTAAATTATGATAAAAATCAGGCCTGGTGAAATGCTTACGAGGCAAAGTCAGGATCACATTATAGAAAACATTTATGTTTTGCCCAAATGGTCTCTTAAAAAACACAAATTTCTAGAAAAGTAAATTTTCAAATCTGTAAGTCTTGTTCCCCATTTATTTTTTTTGTTGTGATTCAGAAATACAAGGTATGAAAATTAGGTTACAATTCTGCCACAAAAGCTTCTAAAGTAGCAAACACAACTTTTATTGTGTATCAAAATAGCCATGTGCACTTTTATCAATTAAAAAGTCTTCAGAGTTATCACATCAAGCAAGTGTAAAATATAATAGCGACTATCTCCCCTTCAAAATTGCAAATCCACAGTTACTGCACTGAAGTATAATCCAAACAACAAGATTTAGTCCAGAATATGGAAGGTTCTGGTTGGCAGGTACTTTTTAAAGCTGACTTACTAAGAACTAAAAGAAATGAGAAATATACAAAGCATCTTATGTCAAAGAGTATGAATATTTAAAAGTGGCCTCAAGTGAGTAATACATGTTTAAATTAGAACATGATGTAATTAAAAGTTTATATAATTTAGCAAAAAATATATATATAATTGCTTTCTTCTAAAAGATAAAGACATAAAATTCTTTGAACTGAAACAGTATTACCAAAATGTTTTCATCATCTAAATACTAGAAACAATGTCTCAAAATTTCACTTGCAGTGATCAGTAATATATGGTTTAACAGATCCAGATAAAGATTTTTTTCTCTTTTTTTGAGACAGAGTCTCACACTGTCACCCAGGCTGGAGTGCAGTGGCACAATCTTGGCTCACTGCAACCTCTGCCTCCTGGGTTCAAGTGATTCTCCTGCCTCAGCCTCCTGAGTAGCTGGGACTATAGGCGCCCGCCACCACGTCCAGCTAATTTTTTGTATTTTCAGTAGAGACGGGGTTTCACCGCATTGGCCAGGCTGGTCTTGACTCAGCCTCCCAAAGTGCTGGGATTACAGGCGTGAGCCACTGTGCCCGGCCCAGAGAAAGATTTATAACTAAATATATAGAAAAGAATAATTCCCATGATTTTGTTTTTGTAAAAAGAAAGAAAGATTGTTTTCTATATATTTTTCAATATGAAGTCCTTGAACATATTTGGGGATTTTTTATGGCTGAATGTTAATTTTTAAATTTTTTGATGTACTTACAAATACATTATAATAAAATAATACAACCAAATCAAAAAGCAGCCACTTGAAAACTGAAATTCACAAAATGAGCTGTTCTTGGCTACATACAGAAAACCAGCATTTAAACTGAATTATAATTAAACGTTTCCTGCCATAGGTAATATTTACCCACTTCTGGGTCCAACAGAAGTTGTTGAATCAATGTGATCCTTTAAAAACAAAGTCACTAGTTTCCATAACAATCATACTCACGGTTGTTTTTTGTTTTGTTTTTTTTCTCTTCACCCAGCAGAAAAACAAGTTGTTCAAGCATTGAACCAAAAAATATAAAAAATAGAATTTGCCTTGTAATATTTCTATGTTTTGGATGAAGTCAGCCCACTATGTGCGGCTGCTTAAATGCTTACAACACCTTATCCAAAACCCTTTGCGCTGGATGTGTTTTAGAATTCATAACCTTTGGGGTTTTAAAAAGGCAACATGGGCATATTTTGAATATTACAAAACACCTCCACAGCATCTAGGGGAATACCTAGAATCAAATCCATGGATATTTCTTCAGGGAAAATTAACAGTCACAATGGAGTAGCATAAAAAAAAAAGTACAATACTCTCACATCAGTTCAAGTCAGATTTTGCTGCCAAATGAATTACGGTATCAAATTCAGAAAAACACAAACCAACTTAGATTTCAAAGTTTTTTGGTAAGGGACTGTAGCCCTTTAACATCTCTGACAAGGAAATTTCTTCTCTGACATGATGGTCTCTACAAATCTGCGCTCATATTTCAATGGAAATTGGGATAGGGACAATTGTCTTCTACCCCAAAACAGGGGCTCTTAACAGGCTCTCTTAAATTTATTTGGGTAGATTACCATCTCACTGGAAGCGACAGGTTCTATGAAGATAATCTGAAAAAAATACATTGAAATAATTAGTTAATGTTATTAAATCAGACACCTTCTTGGACTAGATTCTAATACAGATCAGCAGTAGAAGGTGCCAACGTTCGAGGAACATTTATGAGAAAAGAGTAAAACTGAGAGACATCCAGACATTAATGCAATTGTTTTCTGCAAATTATAAAAAGCTACGATTCCATTTGAGCAGCTGCACAATGCAACTCAATATAATGTGCAAACTTCGGCTCTGTAAGACTGAAAGATTTATGAAACCATTTTGGCATCAACCTATCCTTATAAGCTGCAATGAAATCATTCCAAGCAATTAATACATTAAATAATAATTTCTTCTGTATCTATCAGTGTTTAAAATATGCTATTCTCAGATCTTAATAAAAAGATACCATGGATTAAAGCCATCAAACATCTTATTTTTTAAAAAGTTAAGTCATTTAAAGTCAAGAGCTTCAAAAACTCAAGAGCGAAAAAAAAAAAAAAGGTTTGCAATAATTTTTAGGTCTTCAATTTTTGTATAGAGTTTTTATGTTTTTTAAGTTTTATTTTACAATTTAAGAAAGTTTCCTCTTCAAAAACAGAGGTCTTTTTTCACCGAAGTGATCTGGAATGTGCTACCATATATGCAAGGAAGATGGGTTACAAGATCAAGGTGAAGGGAGCTCTCCTCAAGTCAGAGGAGTGTGAACAACCAGCAGGATGCAACGGGGAATGTTGGCTAAAACTCATCAGAGACACTTGCTGTCAAAATCCACTAATGAACACAGATCCTATAACCTGGAAACAACATTCAGGGGCCAAGAGGGTTTCCAGGGCTACAGAGTTACGAGCCATGAGTGGGCTTCCTTAGCACGTGGTATGAAGATAATGTCTGCGGGCTCAGTGGGAGAGTCACATAAAGAACAGGTGATCATTTTATTTCAAAAGCGACTCTCTTCAAAATCAGCCTTGTCTTTTTTTCTTCATGAGTAAATTTTAAACCATCATCAGCCTTTCCTAAAAGCTACATATATGCTCCGAGAAAAATGTCACACTTTTTAATTTTTTCATTTGTTTTAATTAATTCATGAATTAAGTTAAAAAGTCAAGTCAAAAATTTTAGCTGGTCTTTTTTTCCCTTTTTTTTTTTTTTTTTTTTACAAAAATATTACAGCAGTATAAGCAAAATTGGAAAGGAAGAGATGGGAAGAACAAGTAGATGCTAAAATGGAATAGGTGAACTTCAGGTCATCATGGTTATTGAAGGAACTGTAAATTCTTAAGCTTCTAGATTTTACTGCTCTTCAGAAAACATTTAAGGAGGCTGCCTTCCCCCATGAATGAGAAATGAAACGTTCCCTAAGCATTTGAGTCTAAAGAAGACAAGAAAGCATTGCTTTTCCTACTGGAAAATATCTCTTTAGCTCCCATTGCACTGCCCTCTCCCGTCCCCCTCATAGCTTCCTGGGATCAAAGAGAGAGAGAAGCCATGCGTTTCCACCAGCAGCAGAGTGAGTCCTGAGCACAACACAGGGCTGTCAGTGACACTCAGACTCACTGGCAATGGGTCCAAGTCATCTTGAATAAAATACACCAAGGAAGGACGGAAGGAAGGAAGGAAGGAAGGAAGGAAGGAAGGAAGGAAGGAAGGAAGGAAGGGAGGGAGGGAGGGAGGGAGGGAGGGAGGGAGGGAGGAGGAAGGAAGGAAGGAAGGAAGGAAAGAGAGAGGAGAGAAGGAAGGAAGGAAGGAAGGAAGGAAGGAAGGAAGGAAGGAAGGAAGGAAGGGAGGGAGGGGGGGAGGGAGGGGGAGGGAGGGAGGGAGGGAGGGAGGGAGGGAGGGAAGGAAGGAAGGAAGGAAGGAAGGAAGGAAGGAAGGAAACCCAGAATTGTTTTTTATGGAAGGTTTAAACAAAGTCCTCAAGATTTCTTTATGTGCCATAAAGTACATTTCTGGACTTAATCTCTAGAGGGGCAAAAAAGAATAAATAGAAAACAATTTAATGATCATTCTGGAATCCTGTTCTTTACCTTGTTCACATGGTATTAATTCTAATACCTTCACTTCTCTACCTCAAAGCCTAGAAAATCAAATGGTCTCCTATTCCATATTTGCATAGTATTAATAATATTGTCAGGAGGTGAACTTCTAGCCCCTTGCTTGCAGCCACATTTCTGAAGAGCACTGGTCCAATCTGACACATTTGAAAACAATATATAAGTGTCTATAGGCCAAAAATTGGGTCCCATTTAGCAGCAAGCTGTTCAAATTATTTGGAAACAGTCTTCTTCCAAAGGGTGAGAAGAATTAGGCAGTTTTGTCTGCAATTTCAGATTTTTCTCTCTGCATCATGCAGCGACGAACTATGCTGTCAAAACTTCCAAGGTAAAACAAAGCAATAGTGCGGAACAGGCCCATGGTGACCACCTGCAAGATAAAGAGAGAGCTTTTAGTGCATCCAACGGTACAAGACTATTTCAAGGTACCTAGGTCTCTAATAAATAGTTTCTAAGACACATCTTCTAGTCTGCTCTAAGGATGAATATAATGAAAACTCTGTAAATGTCAGTAAGCTGTGAGAACAGAATGTGTGTGCTCTGCACTGCTGGACAGCCCAGATACATAATGAAATATTTGTTCAATTAATAAATTCAAACCAAAAGCAGAACAAAATAGGTATTGCTCGCAGTCTTAGGGTTATAATAGCTTAAAAAGATCCACTCCAGCATCTCAAATAGCCAAACTACAATCAAGGCTTTTTTGGTTTGAGATTTATGTTCTGAGCGTGAAAGCAAGACCCTATACTAGATGCTGAGAACACTGTGGTGAGAGACACAGTCCTTGCCCTCAGTGAGCTTATTTTCAGGCTGGAAAAACAAGTAAAATTGAAACTACTGCCTCGGGGTTGAGAGCCGTGATTACTGATACCCTGTTGCTCAGGATGGAGTGCAGCGGCATGAACACGGCTCACTATAGCTTTGACCTCCCGAACTCAAGGGATCCTTCTGCCTCATCCTCCCAAGCAGCTGGGACCATAGGCATGAGCCCCCGTGCATAAGAGAATAGAAAAGTCACTGTTTTTTTCCCTACACCCTCAGAGCACTGAACCCAGTTCTTGGATCTTCTGGAAGAAACAATGTTTAAGGTGAGACCTGAAGGAAGATTAGAAGTTGGCAGGACATAGAGAAGATTCCAGAAAGAAGAGGACGGGTAAAGAAAGAAAAAAACAGAGCCTGGAAAGGTAAGTGGGGTAGGAGATCAGGTGGCTTATGGTATGCGATGGAAATGTTTTTAATTTTTAAATTCTTTTTAGAGACAGGGTCTTGCTCTGTCACCCAGGCTGGAGTGCGGGAATATGATCATAGCTCACTGTAGCTTCAGACTTCCAGACTCAAGCGGAAGCCCCCAGTCGCTAGGAATACAGGTACACACCACCACACCGGGCTTTCTTATTCTTTTACATTTTTATGTAGAGACAGGGTCTCACTATGTTGCCCAGGCTGGTCTCAAACTCCTGAGCTCAAGCAATCCTCCCAACTCGGCCTCCCAAAGTGCTGAGATTATAATCATGAGCCACCATACCCAGGTGCAATGGAATTTTTAAAGCTTTATCCTGATGGTATCAAGGAGCCACTGAATGTTTTCATGCAATGTATAGTTGCAGTTCAGAAACAACTGGTGTGGAAAATGGGAGGGTGCACTCAAACGCATCCAGGGGGCCTGGGCAGGGGGTTGCAGACCATAGTGGTTGCAGGGACTGTGCTCCTCCCTCAGGAGCAGCTGCCACCTGTGCTTGCTGATGACTGCCAGGTGAGCATGCAGACTCTGTGCCGCTAAACCTTCCGATTTTCCAAGAAAAGTCTGAAATCTGGACCTTTTATATGAAACCTAATTTAAAAACTATTTTCAAATCTGAAACACACACACTCATACCAGATGGACCAAACAAAACTGCTTTACAGGCCCATGGGAATCATTTACAACCTCTGGCTCAAAAAGTGTGTAAGTCAGGCAGGAGGCCTGCTGTGGCAACCCAGGCCTGGGCTCCAGAAGCACTGCCAGAACTGCAGAGAATGGAAGCATCTGAAGAACAGAGTGACAAGGGTGACAATGATCTCTGATGTGAGGGACAGAAGCAGGGGAGTCCGGGACAACACCCCAGGTGTGAGCCACCATGCCAGCCCAAAAATTAAAAAATAAAAGAATTCATGCATTCGTTCAGCTCAGGTATTCTGGAGTTCCTACTAAGCGCCAGGCACTGGCTGTTAGGCGTACAGTGGCAAACAAGAGGCGTGGGCCCCGTCCTCAAAGAGCTTACATCTAACAGTGTCAACCTCTAAGAGAATGGCAAGACAGTAGGTATATTACAGAGTGAAAAGAAAAGAGGGCTTCGGAAAGACCCTGAGGAAAACCAACAACTAAGTCATTTATATAAGTCTGAATGTGGTCAACTGCACAGAACTTAGTACTTGTTAACAACTATCCCATGGCTTTGTCTTTCCAGAACATTCCCTCTATTGTAATCCTTACTACATTACACTACACTACTATCATCTTTTATTTTTTATTTATTTATTTATTTATTTTTTGAGACAGAGTTTTGCCCGTGTAGCCCAGGCTAGAGTGCGGTGGAGTGACCTCGGCTCACTGCAACCTCCACCTCCCGGGTTCAAGTAATTCTCCTACCTCAACCTCCCGAGTAGCTGGGATTACAGGCGCCCACCACCATGCCCAGCTAATTTTCATATTTTTAGTAGAAACAGAGTTTCACCATGTTGGCCAGGCTGGTCTCGAACTCCTGACCTCAAGAGATCCACCCAGCTCAGCCTCCCAAAGTGCTGGGATTACAGGCGTGAGCCACCGCGCCCGGACTACTATCACCTTTATGGTCAGTGCATTCCACTTGACTGCAAGCCCCTGAAGCTGGAGAGGTCGCCTTCCATCTGATTCCCCATGAGCAAGTACAGTACCTAGCACACCAATGAAACACTAACTGTGTATCTTGGACAAAATAATAAATTCCATAAGCGTAGCAATTGTGTTTAATCCATGATTTGTATCTCACTAAATTTAGCTGTGTGTGACCTGATTCACCTAGAAAAGGTTTTCTAGTCTAATATCTCGGGACTTTTTAAGCAAGGCCACCCTTTACTCTAGGAGTATTCCATTTTTCAAAACACATTGGAGCACTGGTTCTTAGGTGAAAATCCAGGTTAACACCTCAACACAGAGACAGACGGTGTTTGATTTCTCTATCTGCAAAGCCCAGCACTGACGACTTCTTGCCAGTCTACATTCCTGAAGTTATATCTTTAACCTATTTACTCATTCCCGGGGGAGGAAGAGGGAAAGTTGATAGCTCAATAAAAATACATTCTCTAAATAAAGTTACTCCGTTTTCCCTTAATCTCTTCTCATCAAGGTTTGATGAAAGGCAGTTTTTCTCTTGTCCATCGGCCTATCTGACTGCTAGCCTAGGCAGAGCTTACCTGCTGGAGCCCCTCAGTAATAGAAGTTACTGGAGCCATCCCACAGGTCAGGGCCGAGAGCATGTACCCATCTGAGCCGAGGGAACTGTTGAAATTTCCTTGCTAAAAGAGAAGGAAAAGACGAGAAACAGGGAATCCTAGTAATATAGACAGAAATCAATCCGACGCATCAGAAACAGTGGAGTGTGCTCGTTCACTTTAAGTGAGATAAAACGGTCACAAAGCATTGAGCAGCACTAAGAAATGGACGCAGGGCCTTGGCAGATGGGCAGTTCGCAACAAGTGAGTCCACGGACCCCTGCGGGCCCCGGAGGACAAATGATTGTCCTAATAACACTAAGACATTCATTCTCTTTTCCACAGTGTGATGTATGGGAAATACAGTTTTGCCTCTGCCAAACTGCAGACACGGGCTAAAACCACGGTGTTCTGGCCAAACTGTACTAGGAGTCACTGTCATTGGTACTACCACACACACTCACAGTAATAAAGAATACACAAAGAAAATACAAGTTCTAAAATTCTTTTAAAAATCAAAAAGTGTCAGTTTTGCTTTAAAGTCCTCTTGATAAAGCAGCAAAATTCATCATTTTGTTAAATGGCAACCCTCGAGGACATGTCTTCTTAATACTCTGTGTGACAAATGAGAGCACGCCCAGTGCGCTCCCGCGGCACTGCATTCCAATCGGGGACAACTGCCTGGAACAAAAGCCCTTATGCAGCTGCTTACGTCGAGGGCTAAACTGCCACTTCTTTTATGGGGCGTCATTTTTATTTTTTATTTATTTATTTTTGACAGAATCTCACTCTGTGGCCCAGGCTGGAGTGCAGTGGTGTGATCTCTGCTCACTACAACCTCTGCCTCCCAGGTTCAAGCGATTCCCCTGCCTCAGCCTCCCAAGTAGCTGGGATTACAGGCATGTGCCGCCACACCCGGATATATTTTTGTATTTTTAGTAGAGATGGGGTTTCACCATGTTGGCCAGGCTGGTCTCAAACCCCTGAGCTCAAGCGATCCACCTGCCTCGGCCGGCAAAAGTGCTGGGATTACAGGCATCAGCCACCGTGCCTGGCTGGAGAGCATAATTTTTATATGAAAGACCATTGACAGGAAATCCATGGTTGTTCAGACTTAGGTATGCGGCAGATGTGCAGAAAACGACAAAAGCAAGCATGTCACTTCAGGAAAAACAACTGGCCACATGTGTCATCAATGTTAAAATCTGAGCCTTCAAGAAAAAATTAAGATTTGGAAAAACTAGTATCCACCATCATGAGACTGTAAGCTGCATACTTTTATGATAAGATCAGCAGTAATATTGATGAAAGCAATTTTTCTGATCACTCAGTCAACCCATATTTTCCAAATGACTAATGCATAGTGTTACGAAATCATGAATGGTTAAAAGATCCATTCAAAGTACAAGACGGACCAATGGAATTTAATGTAACAGAGTACAAAACGTTCATTGATGTAGTTTCCAATTCTATACTGCAACTAACCTTTTAAGAAACTACCATTTGTTGAGTTTGAGTTTGATATAAAAAAAGAATGTCCATAATTATCTGAAAAGCCTAGTAAAATAGTCTTCCCTTTCCCAACTCCGTATCTGTCTAAGGCCAGATTTTCTTCATATCCTTCCATCAAAACAACATTATTACAACAGATGGAATGCAGAAGCAGCTATTTGAATCCAGCTGTTAATGCAGACCTTAAAGCAACTGGTGAAAATGTGAACCAATGCCACTGTCCTCACTGAACTTTTGTTTTGAAAATTTTTTGTAAATTTTGTTTTAAAAAAGTCACATTATAAAGCAATGGGCATATATATATATGTATCTTTTATATTTTTAAAATATGTATGTATATGTATGTTTTTTAAAATATATATGTATATATATATTTTATATATATATATATATATATTTTTTTTTTTTTGAGATGGAGTTTTGCTCTTGTTGCCCAGGCTGGAGCACAATGGCTTGATCTCAGCTCACTGCAACCTCTGCCTCCCAGATTCAAGCAATTCTCCTGTCTCAGCCTCCCAAATAGCTGGGATTACAGGCGCATGTCACCATGCCTGGCTAATTTTTGTATGTTTAGTAGAGATGGGGTTTCATCATATTGGTCAGGCTGGTTTTGAACTCCTGACCTCAGGTGATCCACCCGCCTTGGCCTCCCAAAGTGCTGGGATTACAGGCATGAGTCACCGCGCCCAGCACGGTGAATGAATTAATGAATTAATATGAATGAATTAATAAATATTATAAACAGCTTCCATTTCAAATATGGCAAATATCAATAAATATAGCCATGTAAATAAATGAAAGTTCTCTGGGGTTGCTGACAATTTGTAAGAATATAAAGTGGTGAAGAGAAGTTTGAAACTACTAAACTAAATTAATACTGCCAAAATACTAAGAGCTATTTAGCATCATTAAAAACACGGAATGGGCCAGGCACGGGGCTCACGCCTGTAATCCCAGCACTTTGGCCAAGAGGCTGAGGCATGTGGATCACCTGAAATCAGGAGTTTGAGACCAGCCTGGCCAACATGGTGAAGCCCCATTTCTACTACAAATACAAAAAATTAGCCAGGTGTGGTTGTGGGACCCTGTAATCCCAGCTACTCAGAAGGCTGAGGCAGGAGAATCGCTTAAACCCAGGAGGCAGAGGTTGCAGCCAGCCGAGATCATGCCACTGCACTCCAGCCTAGGCAACAAGAGCGAAACTCCGTCTCAAAACAAACAAACAAAACAATAACAACAAATACCGAATGCATTTGCTTTGACCTGAGATAAGCAGGAAAAATAAAGTCCCACTTGTGCCATCTTCCTGGGCCTTTTAAGGTACTCAGGGCAAAGTTGTTCACACGCGTATATATTTCAGCAGAATTCACTATGTCTTATTCTGCTCAGTTCAGTCTAATGTGACAGCACTTATGCTGCTTCAAGGCTGTCCACCATTGGCTGACACCTCTCATTCCAATGGTCCTAAAGATTTTCCAAATTCAGTGTGGGTCTGTGGTTTACAGACATCCCTCATAAATGTGTATTTTTCCGCATTAACAGACATGTTGTCAAAAAGCATGAGGCACATATGTTGTTCTTCTACAACACAGCACATCGTTTCTTAAAATACTATTTTTGATTCTGAATAAAAAAGCACATCAACAGGGAAGACAGGAGGACAGGCCCACGGGGCTAGTGGCACTTTCTCGTTAGCTAACTTTTGGGAAAATGATACTGGGAAACAGGAATGGGAGAGAAGGCAGCCAGGTGTATACAGGGCATAGTATAAACTGTGGCCGGGCATGGTGGCTCACGCCTGTAATCCCAGCACTTTGGGAGGCTGAGGTGGGCAGATCACGAGGTCAGGAGATTGAGACCACGGTGAAACCCCGTCTCTACTAAAAATACAAAAATTTAGCCGGGTGCGGTGGCGGGTGCCTGTAGTCCCAGCTACTTGGGAGGCTGAGGCAGGAGAATGGCGTGAACCCGGGTGGTGGAGCTTGCAGTGAGCCGAGATCGCGCCACTACACTCCAGCCTAGAGTGGCAGAGTGAGACACCATCTCAAAAAAAAAAAAAAAAAAAAAAAAAGGACACAGTATATATTGTTTACACTGCCTAGAAAAGTCTCATTTTCTTTTTAAAGAACTGGTGTTTCCAGGTTTCCAGACATCCTTCTAGTAAACCTGTTCCTAAGGTTAAGGTATACAATCAGTTTTCAGGAGCCTACTAACTACTAATATGGAGTCAATAAAGCGTCTAAAAGAAGAAAAGTCGAGTCCAATATTAGATATGATGAATCTAACAGACTAAAAAATTCTAATAATTGATGTTTTGAAGTTAAATCCTAGGACAAATATCTTTTCAGGAATATAGTACTGCAAATACAAATAGTACAGAAAACAAGGATTTTACTCACTATGGCATCTTTAACGATTTGTTTGGCCACCTGTTCGGGTTTGCACACAGATGTGGTCTCTGAAATAAGTCGAGTCTCCAAAGGCTAAAAGTGGGGAAAAAAATGTATATAACAATATCATGATTACCCATTACATTCAAAATAAATTATTCTTACAGCCTCCTGATTTACAAATAATTCCAATTTTCTCCCTTTGGGCAGATTCCTGTTTTTAGAATAAGGCCCATCTGGATTCTAAATCAGTGTCTACCTAGTTACTATGTAAAATTCTACCCAGTAGCTGAAGCAAGACAAGGAGGCCTTTGCCATTCTCTGAGGACATATGAAATCTTGGGTCCAGTGAGGATCGTCAAAGCTATAGTTGAGAACACACCACCGGATACAAGTTCAGAAAGACCCTCTCTTTGACACCTCAGTGCCGACCAGACACCTGAGTGACGGTGCTTCTGCAGAGGCTAGACCTGTGTCCAGAGCAAGCCTGCTCTCAAGGCCAGCAACTCTATTCTGGCCATACTCCCAGGCCAGCAGAGGGCTGATCCCTGGGGATGAACCTGGCGCCCAAGGCAGGCACAGTCGCAACCCAGCCCCTGTTCGACAACTGCAGATGCTTCTTAAAGGATCTGCAGAGGAGGCAAACGCACAGGACACTGAAAGAGAAGGAGCCACTTAGGAGACAACCCTGAGTGGTCCCTAGATGGGCTGCATGCTAGTTACCAGGCTGGAGCTGCAGACCCCAAATCTTGGACTTTTCTTCCTCAAAAGGTCCATCTCAACTCTCACCTAGCTCAAAAAGCCTTCCCTAAATACCTAACTGGCAGTAATCTTTCTTTCTTCTGTGAACATTTCTGCTTTAATACACATTATAGCTACTTGCGAATTTGCATTTTACCTCTTAAGTTTCTTGTGGGCAGGGCCTTTTTTATAAGAAATCATTTATCTTTGGCTTTTCTTTGTGATGCCTTGCATATATGTGGTCAAAAATTAGTTCAATTAGTTCCATTAGTTTCAATTAGAAGTGTCAAAATAGTTTCAATTAGAAGCGTCAAATAATTTCAATTAGAAGTGTCAAACGAAAGCCTTAAACTGCATGAGACTGTAAACTTTACCATATAAGCTTGAAGGAATTAAAGAAAATAAAAACCAGATTATATTTTCTTAAAACAGGAAGTAAAGTATTTCATAAATATCAAGTATTTCTTGTGAACCTGAATTAAGAGAAAAGTTGTTTTGAAGGTGCCACTATTCATTCTTCCAGACCCCCAGGCTGGCATAACCACACTAAATACACGTAAGATTCTAAAGTACTATGGCGCCCCCTAAAGGGCCTACACGTCAATGTAGAATTGTATTTACCCAAACAAGTCTGCCCAAAATTTTACTGAACGGGGGGGAAAAAAAACCCAACTTCATCAACATCAGAATCAAAGCTTAACAGGGAAATCACCACCCTTTGTCAGCTTTGGCTTCAAACTAAAAGACTGCATACCAAATGTTGCAAAGCTTATTCTAAGACAGGACATTTGGCTTAAATTTACTTCTTTGAAATAGCAGTAATTTTTAAAAAGGCAAAGCCAAAGAGAAAAGAATAGGAGGAAAAAAAACCTTCTAAATCACAAACATCTTTTTACAAATATACAGTCTAGGGAGTTTAAGTGCCAATTTTTATGCTGCAGAGTTTCACATTTACAAAGTATTGGTATAAAAGAGAAGAAAAAAATATAAAACTAAAATCAACCACAGTTCAAGGTGGTAAGTTCTGATTAATTCCTTTCTTCCCACTTCACCTATTCATTTGCTCAAAAAAGCAACTACTATGTGTCAAGGAAAAGGGAATATTCCATTGAAAACGTGTGAAGTTTATATTCAGCTCAGAACGACTGGCAGTCATTTTATATAAAAGATATGTCTGTTATAAGTGCTATGAGAAGTTTCTGATGTGATAAGTGCAATGGAGACTCAAATCATCAGACCCCAAATCATCTCTTCTACAATGGCAGAAGATGAGCAGTTTACTAAACAGACTCTTAATTCTGGAACACCAGTCACCACTAAGAGTAGTTATAAGGCACCTTGCAGAAACAGAAAAATTAAGCAAAAGTTGGCACTTAGGTGGTAAGCTCCCCAGCCCTCTTGCCCTGCTTGGCTCCCACAACACAGACAGCAAGTCTTACTCTCCCAAAGGCAGGAGATGACATGATTCCTCACTAGGGAAATTGATCAAACCATGAGAAAAGTGAGCAGATGCTGGCATATGAAAGTCTTCTAATGAAGTGGCTGCATCCTCTCCTGATCATCCCATAGTAAACAACTGAGAAGCTAGAGATTTACAATTGGCATTTTAGTGCCTCACTCTTAAATATGGACAATCAAGGATCACGAGACATTTGAGGAAGCCTAAAAAAACAACAACAGAGAAAAGGAAAGTAGGAGGAAATAAATATTACGAGATGTAGAAGAAATTTTCAAACAAAACAACAGCAACAAAAAAACAAAGCTAAACATCCAGAGTGAACATCCTTAGACACAAGAGAAAATATGAAATCCATGAAATAAGAAGCTTTTTTTAAAAACTGTTTTAAATATTCAGAGAAAAGAGATCTAAAGTAATTTTTATGTAAGCCAGCAGAAATAAAAATTTCAACAAAAAGGTTTAAGGATAAAGCTAATTAAAAAACTAGAAAGGAGAACAAAAGGCCAAAGAGATTTTTTTTAAAAATGAGAGAAAATAGAAGGAAATTAGAGGATCGGTCCAGAAAGTTCAAAAATCTGAATAATAAATGCTCCAGAAAGATGAACACTTGAAATACTTTGGGAAGAAAGAAGTGATAAAAGGAGTAATACAATAAAATGTCCCAGAACAAAAGTTGACAAAATAAAAGGGCTCCTTTTCGTGTCTAGCACATGAAGTGAGAAGACTCCATGCCAAAATCCATTAAGTAAGGATAAAAAGGGATACAAGGTTTCCAAAAATAAATGGAAAAACAGGTTCTATACAAAAGATTGGGAATCAAAATGGTATCGCATTCCACAGAAATTCTGGAAGCTGGAAATCAATAAATGCCCACAGAAATCTGAGGAAACATTATTTCCAAACTAGAAATCTGTACTTAATAAAACAATACATCGAGAATAAAAAAAAAATGGCCAGGCACGGTGGTCATGCCTGTAATCCCAGCACTTTGGGAGGCCAGGGTGGACCAGGAGTTGGAAACCGGCCTGGCCAACATGGTGAAACCCCGTGTCGACTAAAAAAAAAAAAGACAAAAAATCAGCTGGGAATGGTGGCACGCACCTGTAACCCCAGCTACTCAGGAGGCTGAGGCACGGGAATCTCTTGAACCCAGGAGGCAGAGGTTGCAGCGAGCCAACATCGCACCATTGCACTCCAGCCTGGGTGACAGAGCAAGAGTCCATCTCAAAAAAAAAAAAAAGATTAAAATTAAAATAAAGGCATTTTCAGACATGTCGTTTCTAAAACAATATTACCTCTGATGTGCCCTTTCTCAGAAAATTGGTGGAAAATATTATAGCTCTGCCAAAATGAGCAGATAAACCAAAAAAGTGAGAGTCATGGGCTCCGTCAAAGGGAGAGGAGAAGGGAACGTGCAGTGTGAGGTGAAGACAAGTCCTGAGACCACCACTGGGTGGCAGATCTAGAACAGACCAGGAATGGGGACGACCCCAGGAGAAATGTCTGAGGAAGAAAGAATGAAACAGAATGTCCAATGTGCTCATATGGATCAAAAGGAGAATCTCAGTTCTGTCTGAATCTGGGACTGAATTAGTTACAGATAATTACAAAGCTAAGTAAATGAAAAGGCAAGAAAGGAAATGTCACTATAGAATGGTCCAAGTGTGCATAATACTTGCAGTCATATTAATATAAACACTAAACCTGATTTAACTAAAGAGATGGGAGGAGTACACAGGGAATGGGGAACAGCTATGAATCTTAATGTTTTTGTTTTGAAACAGGGTCTTACTCTGTTGCCCAGGCTGGAGTGCAGTGGCGCAATCTTGGCTCACTGTAGCCTCAACGTCCTGGGCTCAAACTATCTGATATGGTTTGGATCTGTGTCCCCACGCAAATCTCACGTCCAACTGCAATCCCTAATGTCGGAGGAGGGACCTGGTGGGAGGTCACTGGATCATGGAGGTGGATTTCCCTCTTGCTGTTCTCATGATACTGAGTGAGCTCTCATGAGATCTGGTTGTTTAAAAGTGCGTGGCACCTCCCGTCTCTCGCCTCCCCCTGCTCCGACCACGTAAGACGTGCCTGCTTTCCCTTTCCCTTTGGCCAAGATTGTAAGTTTCCCGAGGCCTCCCCAGAAGCAGCAGCCTGTACAGCCTGTGGAACTGTGAGCAAACTAAACCTCTTCTATGTGTCAATTACCCAGTCTCAGGTATTTATTTATAGTAATGCAAGAACAGACTAATACACTATCCTTCCACCTTAGCCTCCCGAGTAGGTGGAACTCTTCTAATTTTGCTTATTTTTTTGCAGGGATAGGGTCTCGCTATGTTGCCCAGGCTGGTCTTGAACTCCTGGGCTCAATCAATCCTCCTGCCATGGCCTCCCAAAGTACTGGGATTACTGGTGTGAGCCACCATGGCTGGCCTTAAATTTTTACTTTTTTATTTTTAATTTTTTTTTTTAGATATTGGTTCTCTCTCTGTCACCCAGGTCAAAATGCAGTAGTAAAATCCTGGCTCACTGCAGCCTCAACCTCCCTGGTTCAAATGATCCTCCCACTTTAGCCTCCTGAGTAGCTGGGACTACAAGCATGTGCCCCCATGCCTAGCTAATTTTTTAATTTTTTGTAGAGCCAGGGTTTCGTTATGTTGCCCAGGCTGGTCTTGAACTCGTGGTCTCAAGTGATCTTCCTGCCTTGGCCTCCCAAAGTGCTGGGATTACAGGCGTGAGCCACACTGTGCCTGGCCTGGTCTTAAATTTTATCTTCCACAGTAGAAAGTCAATAAATAATTTCTAAATCTTAAAAAAAAAAAAAAAAAAAAAAAAAGGCAGTATAAACATGTTAGTTAAAATAAATGGCTACCTCTAGGCAGTAGGAATTGGGAATGGG